ATAACTCATATGACATAAAAGTTGTCCAGAGAAAATGGCTAGGTATTGAATACCAATTTAAAAAGTAAAATTTTCAGTGCCTTAACTCATGTCAATAATATATGGATATAGCACACCTCTGAATGCCGCATATTTCATAGGGTTGGGGCCACCAAGGACAAGGCCTGCCTCCTAGTCCATATACCTCTCCATGAGTGTAGTGATGTATCCTTAGCAGGCCTTCCCTAGATGGACAGGATAGGCAAAATCATGCAGAATGAGGCCATTGCTGATGGATTTGAGGGTGATAAATAGCACTTTGAATTGGCCTCAGAAGCCTACTGGCATCTAGTGCAGTGACAACAAAATAGGGGGTTTCCTATGTTAACTTCCTGCTCGCTGAATTTTGTACTTCCAGATCACCTTCAAAGGAAGCCCCACGTACAGCATATTGTAGTAGTCCAATTGCTGGGTAATGAGGATGTAAGTTGCCAAGTCTTCCCCAGCACAGGTACATCCATAACTGGTACACCAGCTGACGCTGGGCAAAGACTCCCAGGCCATGTCTTCTACCTGCTTTTCCAACAGGAGCTGGGAGTCTGGGAGGGCTCCCAAGCCACAGACCTGCTCTTTCAGAGGGAGCATGACTCCGTCCAGACCAACTACTAGAAACAATACTCCCAGAAGTCCTAGATGTTTATTAGCCAATAGCGCCTCCATCTGGGTAAAATAATCTGAGCTCATTCCTCCACATCCAGTCCTTCATGACTTATGGGCATTGTTTCAATGATACCTCTGGCCCAGCCTCTTTAGATGGAGGTGTACCACAGAATAACATCGGCATATTGATGATACCTCACCCAAACTGATGGAGGATTTCCCCCGGCATTTCATAAGATATTTTCAAATGTAAAATGGGCTCCACAGCCATCCTAAAAGATCTTCCTTCCTTCCTTCCTTCCTTCCTTCCTTCCTTCCTTCCTTCCTTCCTTCCTTCCTTCCATCCATCGATCCATCCATCG